CCCAGTTAATTCTAATGTTCAGGCAAGCAGAGAACAACTACACACATAATTTCCCCCTTCTTGGTTTCCTCTTGGATGCTAGGCATCCACATTCTCTGTTTTCCTTATACTTCACTGGCCACTTCTTTTCATGGTTTCTTTTGCTCAATCTGCCTTCTCTACTGATCTCTATATGATAGAACTCTACAGGATTTTCCCATTCTCTCTTCTCTTCTATTCTTTCCATTTAAGATTTCATCCACCCATTGCCTTATATACAATCTATATGCTGTTTAAAAATCAAATATATTTTAAAAAAATTTTTAATGTTTATTTTTGAGAGAGAGAGACTGAGAGCAAGTGGGGTGAGGGGGAGCAGAGAGAGGGAGACACAGAATCTGAAGCGGGCTCCAGGATCTGAGCTGTCAGCACAGGGCCTGAACGCGGGGCTCGAACTCATAGACCATGAGATCATGACCTGAACTGAAGTCAGACACTCAACCAACCAAACCACCCAGGCACCCCAAAAAATCAAATATATTTTAAAGACTGTATTGTCTTTATTCAGTGATTCACGAAATGAGCACCATCCAATCTAGAAGACAGAAAGGAGCACTGAGGAGCTGTGCAAAATGAAAGACTTTTTATAGGCAGAAGAGAGAAGAAATAAGGAAGTAATATGAGACAAAAAGCAGATTGGTCATTAAAAGGTTACTTTCCTTTTAGGGATGACGGGTCTATCAGGCCAATTACCTAGGTAGTAAAGATCAGGCAATTCCTGATTGATTGGCTTAAGATTCCATTTCTGGGAGAGCTGAAACTATAATTAAGTTAAATCTTGGTTTGGTGAGGTGAGGCTTAGCATAAGGAGCTCCATTTTGAGCCTGTTGTCTTGTTTATACCAATGCTGACAACGTCTGACCTCCAGATCCAAATATTCAACTATGTGCTTCAGTCTCTACCTGAGTACAGGCACAAACATGCCTGACTTAACATGGCAATACTAAGCTCTCATTCCCCACCTGCTGCTCTTTCCTATCTGCGTCCTCTCCTGAGCTCTGCATCCTAGTAAATGGTCCCACCAACCACCAATCACATATGTCATAAACCTATGAATCATTCTTGACACCTGCCATTCCCCTCATCCAGTCACTGAATCCTATTGAATCTGTTCTCAAATGCATCTTACTTCTCCCTATCCCCAAGGCTGCAATCTTAGTTCAACTCATTATAATCAAATTATGTTATTCTCTTACTTAAAGCCCCTGAGTACTGCCCATTGTGTTAATAATAAAGTTTCACCCTAGACCAATTAAACCACAATCTCAGGAAATCTTTTTCTCTGGGAAAATATCTGAGGCCTGGATATTTTTTAAAAAATTCTTTCTGGGTGATTCTAATATGTTGGCCTACCCTGTTGAAAAGCTCTTGAAGGTTCCAGTAAAACTCCTCTCACTGGTGTAAGGCCCTTGGTGGCCCAAGCACACCAACCTTCAGTGGCCGGTAGGGATAAAGCTAGAGGGAGTGAAGTGTGAATGAAAGTGAGAAAGTGGTAGCCAAATATGGAGGTTGCTCTTTCCAGAAACCTGACTAAGAAGGAGATCAGAGATACTAAATGGTAACTACAGATAGGTTTGGTTTTTTATCTTTGGCATTTACAAAATGTATAGGATCTGCACCAATATATCATGATATAAAATTTTTTTTTTTGAGGGAGAGAGAGAGAAAGCAAATGTGTGTGCACTTGTGCAACCTGGGGAGGGGCAAGGAGAGTTAGAAAGGGAGAGAATCCCAAGCAGGCTCCATGCTGTCAATGCAGAGCCAGACATGGGGCTCAAACTCACAAACCATGAGTTGTGGCCTGAGCTGAAAACAAGAGTTGGATGCCTAACCGACTGAGCCACCCAGACACCCCACACGAGATGAATTTTTAATTAAATATAAAATACAAAATATGGGCAAACTCAAACTGTCCAGCAGAAGGCAGTGGGGGAAAGTCAGAAAGTTCAGAAGCTCTCCAATGACATCCTGGCATCACCACTTTCTAACGATGTGTTCTTGGACAAGTTAAGTTATCAGAGCCTCAGCTTTTTTTCTCTCTAAAATAGAAAACAACACTTAGCTCATAGAAGGTTGTTGTGAGATTTAACAAAATGACGTATACAAAGAATATGCAGCACTTGCGACATCAGTTCCCAAGCTCTCCATAGTCCTCTGGTGCCCTCGAGTGGCTTCCTAGACAGCTTAGAGCCCCACAGTGCACCCCACCTCACCACCCTCATGGGCAACTCAATATATTTTGGCACTTTTTGAGCCTCTCCTCTACCACCAAACTTAATAATCTCTTATGCATCCCTTTACTACACAATCTTAATTGAACTGGACAAACATAAACTAGGTAAACTGATACCCAGAAAGAGATACATCAGCATTGCAGATAGTGCCAGGCACTGCAAGTGAGATATTCCAAACCTGAATAGAAGGATTGCTTAACATGCAAATTTCAAACATTGAAGCCATAAAGAGCTGGTTATTAAACTGAAGGAACTGTTTAGCACCCCCAAAATTGCACCATCAAGTAGTATCTCAAACTCCTACTTTATCTCACATCACAGTTCCACCAGGGTTATTCTTTCTGTGACACATTGGATCACCTCTTTGTTCAAAATCATTTAAAGGCTCTTTTCCTGCTCCCATCCTACCCTCGTTTTCCTGCTTGCCATCCTACACTGGCAGAACATTCCTTGTTAGTGCCCCCTTCCATACCATTGTGGAGCGGAATTGTTAGCACCAAAGAATAGAATATATATTCTCACACTTCTTCCCTTCCTATTTAGACATTAGAGAAGAATCTTCTGCCTGAAAATCTACTGAGGCTCCCTCCAAAAGTAGAGAAAGATTTCTTATCTTTCTCTTCCTTCTTTTACTTGGGGGTGGGGTTGGGGGAGGTTGAGGCAATTTTTCCCTTCTTCATTTTTTACTTTTTTAATTTTAGAGAGAGAGTGGGAGAGAGAGTGAGTGTGGGAGGGGGTGGATGGGGTGGGAGAAAGACAGAAAGAGAGAGAGAGAGAGAGAGAGAGAGAGAGAATCTCAAGTGAATTCCACACTCAGCATGGAGCCCAACACAGGGCTCGATCCCATGACCCTGGGATCATGACCTGAGCTGAAATCAACAGTTGGATGCTCAACTGACTGAGCCACCCAGGAGCCCCACCCCCTTCATTTTTTAATTGGAATTTTTACTGAGAAAATTGTCAATTCAAATGCAGTTGTAAGTCATAATTGAAAGGGAGATCCCCTGTCCAGTTTCCACCAATGGTAACATATTATGAAACTATAGAATAACATACATTCAACCAGAATATTGACATTGATACCACCTACCTATCTTATTCAGATTAGATTTCCCTAGTTTTACTTGTACTCTTTTGTATCTGTGTGTATTAAGTTCCACACAATTTTATCACCTGTGGGGGTTAGAATATCTACCATCACAGTCAAGATAATGAATAGTTCCAACACCACAAGGATCCTTCATGTTGTCCTTTTATAATCATACACACCTCCATTCCCCCCAACCTCTATTCCTTTTTTTTTTTAATGTTTTTTATTTATTTCTGAGAGAGAGAGAGAGATGGAGAGAGGGAGCGACAGCATGAGAAGGGGAGGGTCAGAGAGAGGGAGACACAGAATCCGAAGCAGGCTCCAGGCTCTGAGCTAGCTGTCAGCACAGAGCCCAATGTGGGGCCCAAACCCATGAACCGTGAGATCATGACCTGAGCCGAAGTCGGAGCTCAACCGACTGAGCCACCCAGGCGCCCACCCCCCCCAACTTCTATTCCTAAAACCTAGAAGTTATTAACCTGTTCTCCAATTGGAAAATTTGCCTCTCATAAATGTTATATAAATGAATCATATGGCATATAACCTTTTGGGATTGTTTTTGTTTTTTGTTGTTGTTGTTTTTTTTTTTTTTTTTGACTCAGAATAATTGCCTGGAGATTTCTCCAAGTTATTGTCTGTATCAATAGCTCAATCCTTCTTATTGGTTAGTAATATTTCATGGCATATATGTGCCACAGTTTGTTTAATTAGTCACCTGCTGAAAAACATCTGGATGGATTCCAGTTTTTAGTAAATAACTGTTGCTATGTACATTTGTGTATAGGTTTTTGTATGAACATAAGTTTTCATTTTTCTGGGTCAATGCCCAAGAGTACCATTGCTGAGTTGAATGGTAGTTGAATGTTTCATTTTTTAAGTAAACTGTCAAACTGCTTTCCCGAATGACTGTACCTTTACATTCCTACCATCAATGTATGTGATCCATATTTTTACTTTCAGATCTTCTTTATTCCTGGCTTAGCCAAGATATACTATCAGAAAGTAGATAGCTCTTTAATGGCTCTCACTCATAAAGGTTCTGGATCAAACTCTGAAAACAGGAGGAAAAATTGCTGCTGCTCTTTTGGATGATAACAATAGTTGGCATTTATTACATCCTTAACTGTATGCCAGGCACTGTGCTAAAGGCTTCCTGTGTACAAATCCACTTATGATTCAAAACAGCTCTATGGATAGAGTCTATTATTTTCCCCAGTTTGGAAGCTGAGGCTCAGAAACAGAAGTATCTTGTTCATGGTTACAGATCTAGTTAGGTTAGGTTAGCTAAATAGGTTCATGGTTACAGAGCTAGGATTTGAATGTAAGGGGCTGTGTTCTCAACCACCATATTATACTTTCTCCTGAATAGTAATGAAAGAAACATCCCTATGTTTCCAGAAAGAGCTGTACAGGTTATGTTGTAGTTAGGATAATGTTTTTCTTTTGAAATATAAATGTAGATTTTATCATGTCTGGGAATTAACATATATCCTTGGAGAGAGAGAGAGAAAGGCAGAGACAGAGAGAGAGAGAGAGAGAGAGAGTGAGTGATTCAATAGATATACATTGATTTCCCCTCAAAGGCTGCACCCAGTCCCAGCTATGTCTAGTCCCATCCCCTGCACCCCTCTGCATACCTCAGGCAGCAGAAGAATGGTCCTCACCAGCAACTTGGAGGGGACAACAACATATCCTAGGTAGTATAGTGTGGGAAGGAACTATCTCAGAGTAAATAGGAGGTCTTGGCAAATGCTTTCTCTGTGAAACATGAAGAAGAGGAAAATAAATGATATGATATGATGATGATGCAAATATACTATAGTGAAAAATAATAATTAAAAAGGGGAACAGATAACAACAAGCATATAAAAGGTGATGGATGCAGTCTGAAAGAAAATATGACTCAAAAATTTTAAAAAATTTCCTTCCAATGTTGTCATATTATATGAAAACCTAATAAGACTTCAAAGACAAAAACGGGTAAAACATTAGAGGTAGACGGGATAGCACCAAGACTGTTACTTGAGGACCCAAACAACACCATGAGAGAACTAATACATGTGAAAGATAAAGATCAGATAGACTCAGAATGGAATCACAGGTCTGACAGAAAGGGAAGGTGCAGTGTTGTCACTGCACATTCAGAGAAAAAGGATAAAGGATTTTGACAATTAGAGAGGAAGTAACAGATATGAAACAGAGATGGTGATGATCCTATACAAGGATAACTGGTGTCTATGACACAGAGAATAAGACAAATGAAACAGAAAATGGGTATTTTAAGTTTTACTTAGTTATTTTGAGAGAGAGTTAGAATTCCAAGCAGGGTTAACACGGAACACTGAGACTGACACGTGGCTCTCCCATGACTGCAATATCAGGACCTGAGCAGAGATCAAGAGTTGGATGCTTAACCAACTGAGCCACCCAAGTGCCCTAACAGGTTTTTTTTTTTCAATTTTTTTCAATTTTTAATTTTTTTATGTTTATTAATTTTTTTTGAGAGAGAGAGAGATAGAGTGCAAGTGAGGGAAGGACAGAGAGAGGAAGATACAGAATCCGAAGCAGGCTCCAGGCTCTGAGCTGTCAGCACAGAGCCCGATGAAGGGCTCGAACTCAGGGACCATGAGGTCATGACCTGAGCCGAAGTTGGATGCTTAACTGACTGGGCCACCCAGGCGCCTCAACAGGTTTTTTTTTTTTAAGGCAAACTTTCCAAAAAGTAATGAAGAAGTAATTTTGCAGATGAAATAGGGAGTCTATGTTCCATAGACTTATTAAATACATAGAATTATTAAAATAGATACATAGCCTGGTTAGGTCAATTACCTTTGGGGATTAAAAGGAAGAGTTCAAGAAATCCTGTTAGAACAAACAAGTCAGCTACAAGAGAGAACGAAGTTAGACTGGCCAGCCTTCTCCACAACAATCAAGGAGGATAATGTCGATTCTTCATCTACTAAATTCTGATGGAAAGAAAGTATGACTCAGGAATACCCAAATGTTTCTGTTGTTTGAAAATAAAGGCTACTGGTACACATTCTCAACCATGAGAGGCCTTAGCAGATATAGTCCTTCTTGGGAAAAACTACCAGAGATGAAATCAACTTGGATATGCCAGGGGAAAAGCACTGGTATTCTTTTTAGTATTAAAAGGAGTCAGTGTATGCACTGAGTAATTCAGGAATTAGACCACCTGAGTTTAAATCTTGGCTCTGTCTATTCTTACTTTTGGCTTTATACAAAGTATTTATCTCAGTTTCTTTGCCAATAAGATGAAGATGATAATGGTATTGTGGGTAGCAAATGAAATAATCCATGTAAATTTCTTAGTATAGTGCTCAGCATTAGATACTATTATAAAAAAATTAAAACACAATTATTAAAACATTATAGCTTCAAAATTTGATGGCTTTTTATAATCTTTTACAATCATTTTTCCCTTAATTTATATTTATTTATTTATTTATTTATTTTATTTCTGAGAGAGGGACAGTGTGAGCAGGGAAGGGTCAGAGAGAGAGGGAGGTACAGAATCAGAAGCAGGCTCTGGGCTCTGAGCTAGCTGTCAGCACAGAGCCCGATGTGGGGCTCGAATCCACAAACCATGATATCATGACCTGAACTGAAGTTGGACACTTAACCGACTGAGCCACCCAGGCACCCCTTCCCTTAATTTTAGGAATGAATATCTTTGTGGTAAAAAAATTTTTTTAAACACTGAGCTCTGAAAAGGTGAACAATAAATTGGTAACATGGATACCTCTGGAGAAGAACACTGGATAGATGGGAGATAGAGTGAAAGGGAGAATTTTCATGGCTTTTCACTAACATGCAACTTTTTAAATTTGTACCACATGAATATATTATTTTATTTTATTTTGGCATTTATTCAATTTTGAGAGACAGAGCCCGAGCACTGGGGGGGTTGCGCAGAGAGAGAGAGAGAGCTACAAAATCCAAAGCAGGCTCCTGGCTCTGAGATGTCAGCACAGAGCCTAATATGGGGCTCGAACCCACAAACCATGAGATCACGCATGACCTGAGCCAAAGTTGGAAGCTTAACTGACTGAACCACCCAGGCACCTCTATTATCTATTTTTTAAGGCAACTAAAACTAAAGAAACATTTACCTGTTTCCACAACTCCTTCATTTTGATCACAATTTCTTGTTTTTCTTTTTAAATTCAAGTAAAATTAAATTTAATAATTTATGTAAAATTAGCATGTACTATGGCTCCATTTTTGCAAACCTATTCCTAACAAGACAGCCTTCACCTGTATATCTGCAAAGGGATCTGAAATGATATCTAATGTTAACAATGATTATTTCCTAGGTGATGTAACTTAAGGTATTTTTTTCTTACTCTTATTTTTTAGAATGCTTGAATTTTTAACTAAGTATCATTTTAAAAATGTTAATGTTTCAGAGAAAGAAAAATTGTTACCAATTGTTACCTTGGTTGACAAGGAAGAACAAGGGGTTTGTCCCCACCTCATAAGGCTCTGAATGCCAAAGACCACCCTGGAGGGCCCTTAGTCTAGTCCCTTACTCTGAAATTAGTAAATGCATTGGTAGGGGGTTATTATGTACCCACTGTGTGCCTTGCTGATTCCTTAAGTGGTAGCCTAATGCCTTGAGCAACCTTCCTGCCAAACTGGACTATCTGTTGTTTCCTAGTATGCTTTTGCTCCAGACACCTACAAGAGCCTCTACCTTGCAGACCCTTAATTCCATTTGTTCTCCAAAGCCATGGAAGAAACTGCATCTTCCATGTATCTTTCCCTAACCTGTCTACTCGATTTCCCCCCTTGGAAGCCCCATAGCACCTTTTAACAACTATTTATGGCAATTTATTCATTCAACAAATGTTTACTGAACACACCCATGTGACTTATATTTGTTTGTATTACATGTCTTACCCTCTGACTTAGAATAATTACCAGAGGGCAAGAAGCATTTCACACTCATTTAGTATTTCTACAGCAGCCAGCATAATACCCTTTAAAGAATAAAAGTAAAAAAAATGTTTGCTAGATAATTAAAGGAGCACTATGATATGACAGAAAACATATGTATTGGTTTCTGACCCCAGTTGCTAGCACAGAGCTCCTAAAATCCTTATAAATTCCTAATTGAACGAGCATGAGGAGCATCTTTTGTTCTAATCAGGTGATTCTGGGTATGTCGTGGATGGCTCCTGGATGGGAGCTGGGCATCAGAAACACCAAGCCATGACTAGAAGTTTAGACTTTTCAGCCCTGTTCCACATCCTGGAGAGAGGAGTGGGACTGGAAATTGAGTTGGTAATTGATCATGCTTACATGAGAAAACCTCCATAAAAACCCAATAATAAGAGGTTTGGATTGCTTGCAGGTGTGGACCTGGATGGTGAGGCACCCAGCTGTATGAGGACAGAGCTGCTGCAGTTGGGACCCTCCCAGATCTCACCCTATGTCTCTCTTCATCTGGAACTAGTAAACATTTAAGAGTTTCCCTTAGTTCTGTGCACCACACTAGCAAATTAACTGAACCTGAGAGGAGGCTGTGGGAACCGCTGATTTGTGGCCAAGTCAGACAGAACTTGTGACTGGCGTTGAAACAGGATGGGAGCAGTCTTGTGGGACTGAACCCTTAACCTGTGGAATCTGGCACTATCTCCAGGTAGACATTGTTAGAATTGAGTTAAATTATAGAACACCTACCTGGTGTCACAGAGAATTTCTTTTTAAACTTCATTTTTTTTTTTTTAAATTTTAGAGTGAGAGTGGGAGCAGGGGAGGGGGGCAGAGGGAAAAAGAGAGAATCTTGTTTCTTTTAATTTTTTAAAATTTTTTTTTTTTTGAGAGAGACAGAGCATGGGAGAGGAATGGGCACAGAGAGAGGGAGACACAGAATCTGAAGCAGGGTCCAGGCTCTGAGCCATCAGCACAAAGCCCGACACCAGCTCGAACTCACAGACCGGGAGATCATGACCTAAGCCAAAGTTGGCTGGGCTAACCACCTGAGCCACCCAGGAGCCCCAGAGAATTTCTTCGTATGGGGAAAAGAACCCGCACGTTTGGTGACCAGAAGAGGCAGAAAGAAGTGTTCTGTGTGAGTAGTAAAGGAGACAAAACTGAGTCTTTCCTTGTACAAGCACTTAGTAAGTATTTGTTGAACTGAACTGATTGCCTCATGCTTATACTGTTTTTGAAGTCTGGAAGTCTTTTAGCTTTAAAAACCAAGTGGTTTACATTCCTTCAAAATTATTTTGAGTTTTTCTAAACAGCAAATGTGTTCCCTTTCTCGAAAAAACACTGGCATGGACCAAAATCCTTGGAAAGAGATAAGGTACAAAGCGATAAATAATAGATTAGTGATTTTTATTTCCATCTGTTTTGCCCTAAGGAGGTACATCCACAATCCTGAAAACTGACACAGAGAAGACAACTTTTCCCTAGTCCCCTGGTCCCTAATGTCCAACATTTGCTCAGAGATAGCTTTCCAGAACAAGTTCACATTACTCAGGGTATTCATTCCTTAACTGGCTTTTTAATTACAAAAGGCTAATTTCTCAAAACCTAAATAAAAGCTAATTTGTACATACAATCCTGTGTCAATGATGAGATAATGTGAATAGAATTTGAAATAAAGGCATAACAAATACAAAATAATGCATAGAATTAAAGGAATACTTTTATGAGATAATGAAGATTATATATGTAAACTATTTGCCTTTGTTCTAGTTAAGGATGGCTTTCCACAATAGGGTTTGTTGAAAAATAGATTTCCCCCTTTTCCTTCAGTGAACAAAAATAATGTGCTGCCACCTACTGACACCTGAATGAAAATGTAGCTCAGAACACCTAAAAGTAATTTAAAAAACTGCCAAACGAAAACTTGAGGATAGGTGTTTATATTATCTTATTTCAAACACAGTAATTGACACCTGCAAGACTCTTAATTCCAGGGGGGGATAAGCATTATGTATATTGGTTAAACTGAAAAGAAAATCAATGGATGTGTTGTGAATGACCACACAAATTTAAAGGTTAGAAAGCTTAGCTGCATACTTGAGTGGAGGATTGAAATAACAGTTGAATCATTCTGTTAATAAGAAAAGGGGACAAGAGAACATAAACATTTCTAGACTAAGATAAACTAGCGGTCCAGTCTGTCTAACATCATGTCACAGCGGAATTTTGGGCAGGGGTGGATATGGTCATTGGTGAGGACAGGGTAGGCTATTACTCACAGGGAGAGGGATCTGTTTCTAAATAACTCACTTTGCCCTTAATGACCCTTTACATATCTATCGAATGAGCCTAAACCGTTTTTTTTTTTTAATTTTTTTAATGTTTTACTTATTTCTGAGAGAGAGAGAGAGACAGTGTGAGCAGGGTAGGGTCAGAGAGAGAGAGGGAGAGGGAGACACAGAATCTGAAGCAGGCTCTGAGCTAGCCGTCAGCACAGAGCCCGATGCGGGGCCTGAACCCATGAACCGTGAGATCATGACTTGAGCCGAAGTCGGACGCTTAAACGACTGAGCTACCCAGGCGCCCCGAGCCTAAACCGTTTTTGAAAGCATGCTTCTAGTTGGTCTTCGCTTTGGGTGAGCAAAGTTTCCCAATCAACACACAATGAATGATGTAAACAGAGGAGAGCACGGACCTGAAATTTTAACCTCACCAATAAATGTCCCTACCACATGGTAGGTACTTTATTAATATTAGTTGAATGAACAAATAAGTAGAGCCTCTATTTCTCTTAAATTTTCTGTGTTTGAGCTCCAAGGAGTACATCAGAATCCAAAGGATCCTATTTATATTTTGCTTTGGTTATTTGAATATTTCTGATGAAAAAAATTAGCTTGGGCCTGAATTACTAAGATAGCTCCTCAATTTTCCACTTCAGTCAACATTATTTATCAATTAAGTTTTTAGTAAATTGTAAACTGAAGTGTAAAACTTGGCTTAGTACTGAAGGTTAACTTTCAATGTGTCACCCAGGGATGACAAAATCTAGGAAGAAGGCTGAAGAAGAGCCTATGTATAATTAGGAGGATTAGAAAGAGCTTTGAAAACAATTTGCTGAGACTTCATGATTAAAAGAAAATTATTTAGTTTCAAGAGGCACTTTCTCTTTTTTAATCCACTAAAACTAGACTCAGACAGCCAAAGTCAAGAAGGGGCCAAGCAATTTTACATTAAATTCATCCCCCCAGTAATCACCTGTTTACATCGGTCAGAAGCCCAACAGTTTGTGGTCTGGATGTCTACTCTATTCGGGGGCCCCCAGTTTTAAAGTGTGCATTGATTAAGAAAATAAATATATAGACACTGGGCAGAGAATATAACACCCTGAGCCATCACAGTTTTTTCTGGGATCTTTGTACCAAACCACCCAACTTAATGCATTTCACAATGCAGGGGTAAGAAAAGAGCTCCTGCCTTAGAAGAGAATGGGATTTAACCAGAACAATAGATAAAGTCAACAAATGATTATAATACTTGAAGCTTCTTAAGATTCAAGGGAGTATAAGGTCACATCTGGTTGGAGGGTTTGTGAATGATATCATGAAGGAAGCACCATTTGAATAGGTCTTTAAGAATAGGTAGAATTTTGTAGTGTGAGATCATGGTAGGAAAAAAATTCACAAACAACATTTAGGAGACACCAAATACATCTGTGAGTAGGATGTGTTCAATTAGTCTACTAATACCCTAGTCTTCACTGCTAAAAAGTGACAACTAAGTTGGGAAAGCAACATAAGGCACAGGCTCTGGAATCAGGTGCCTGAAATTAAGTCCTGGCCTCAACACTTGTTTGCTGTGTGACCTTAAGCAAGTTGCTTAACATCACTGTTCCTCAACTGCCTTTTCTGTAAAATGACACAGTAGAAGGCCCACCTCATAGAATTGTTTTCAATTTTAAATAAAGAATCCATGTGCTGCAATCTGTGCCTAGAATATAGTAATGTTCAATAAATATTACTTACTGTAATTGTTGAGCTTATACTTGATTTACTAAGCAACAGGGAACTATCAAAGGCTTCTGAGCAGAAGAGCTATATGTCCGAAGCTGAAACCTTAGAGTGATTAATTTCTCAATGAGAATTAAGAGGAATTAAAGGAAGTTGGTGAAGCTACAATTAAGGTTACCAGATGAAGAATTTTACAATTGTCCAGAGCAGGAGCGACCATCAGAATTACAGGTAAGGTGGTAAAAGAGAGGAGGAGGAGGACGGAAAAGAAAGGACAATTTTGAAAAACTTTGAGAGAAAGAATTCGTAAGACTGTATGGGCAGTATAAGTGATGGGAAGGAGGCAAGTCAACTCTAAGCCTTTCAACTTGGTACAAAAAAAACCATTAGTGAGGAAAAACAGAGATATGAGGGAAAAGTGCTTCAGAGGAAAGTCACCCAGGTGGAGAGCCAATAGACAGTCACAACTTTAAATATGCACCTTAGAAGAAAAGTCAAACTTAGATTAAGCATCTCCATTTTAAGAGGTGGAAGTGAATCCCTGGATGGAGATGAAATCACTGGGGATGAGAAGGTTGAATCATCTGACTCAAAATTTCTTGTTCTTTCTACCTGTGGATATTACGTGAATTCATATCAACATAGAGAAAGGGGCTTGTATATTTTTAAGTGAGTTTCAGGGGCATCTGGGTGGCTCAGTCGGTTAAGCCTCTGACTTCGGCTCAGGTCATGATCCCACGGTTGGTGAGTTCAAGTCCTATGATGGGCTCTGTGCTGACAGCTCAGAGCCTGGAGTCTGCTGTTGAATAAATTCAACTCCTGAATTTTCCATCTATTAGCCACATGTCACTCCAGGAATCAGCTCCCTCATCTGGAAAATAAAAACAATGCTAAGATCTTCCTCAAGAGTATGATGAGGCCCTGGTCTCCTTCTGTCAAGTTCAACATGATCGTCCTCAGGTATGAGATGAAACTTCTCTTCCTGAAGGTCCTTAATACCCTGGGCTTATTCCTAAATACCTCCAAAGTCTCTTTCTTTTCTTCACCAGTAAACACTTAAACTCATCTCTCCCAAATCTTCCAAGCCTTGGTCAGATTCTACAGGCTGCTATAGCAACCACTGTTGAATAATTCCAAAGCCCCTTTGTGGGGACCTCTTCTGCCTCACTGCTTCCACTCCCACACAAGTTCAGATGCTTCCACCAAACTACAAAAGATTATTCTTTTAACTTCCTCATTCTCTCTTTTTTCATTGTTTTTTTCTTTCCTTTTCCATTTCCCTTTTCCATTCTCAGCTCTTTATGAAAATTATAATCCCATAGTCATATCTTATCTTAGCTTATCAGCCTCATAATTATAGCTGTCTGTCAGTTAACTTTCACCCCAGTACAAAGTCAGCATTCTCTACATACTTAAATTCACCACACATACATTCACATGTACATGTAAAAAAGTTACCTTGTCCATAGAAAAAATAAGTAGTGATCTCAGAGCAAATTTTCTCTACTCTTTGAACATTGGAAGAGGAGATCTAAAGATACAAATGTGAGTTGATTGGTCCACTGATCCATTCTCCCCTCCCCTCATCTTATCCAACAAATTCTAAGCAAGTAGTTTTTGAATCTGCTTAATTTCATCTTGAGTGGGTCCCAGGGCCTCCATAAATGATATCGTTTCTACTTACAGGACAGCTCAAAAAGGCACCTTCAAATTTATTGCAAATTGCCGCAGACGTGGGATATCTTTCAGTTGCCAGGAAAGCCAGAAGGCTCCTTTCTGTATTCTCTCAGTATGGTGACCTATAATTTCAGAATACTCTGCAGCCTGTATTTTGGTTTCCTGCCCATTCATTAGTCTGACAAATGTCTGTTATCACCTGGAGCATTTACATTCCAAGACTAAAATCAGTCTCCTACTCAGCATCTCTTTGTTCTCTGGAAAGCATCTGGATCCTGCCAATAGATGTTCAAGTAAAAGTACACATTATAGTATATCCAGTACAGTGGGGGCTGGATTCTCACTCCAGAATTCAACACCAGCATCAGGTACAGCCTGGACATGTATCTTGCATCGTGTGATAATCAATAGCATGTGTTATTAGGTGCCAATTATGGGCTCTACACTATTTTATATGATGTGGGAGATTCAAAGTAGAAATAATGCCTGCTTCTGTTTTGAATATGATTATACCCAGCCCCTTGTATAAGTCCTTGGCACATAAGAGATAATAAAAATATCAACCGAATGAGTGAATAGGAGTGCTGAGAAAACTAACATGAGAAGCTATAGAGAATCATGCAAGTTAATTCACAGTTAATGACTCCCTTAGGTGGTGGTGCAGCTATAAGGGATACAGGAATTCAAAGAAGAAAGAAGTTAATATGGACTGAAGCCATTATGGTGTAGCATGCACACATCATTTCAGGTGAAGTGCTATTGGCAGACAGACTAGAAAGACAGCCTGTATTTCAAATGAAAAAAATTGTAAGTGAAAGCCCAAAGGTAAAGTATTGAATCAGTGAAAAAACTGGCTAACTAGACCATGGAGATATGAAGTAGAGTCTAAAAACAAGGTTAGATAATAAATGGGACCATATAATAAAGGCTGTTGAAAGATAGAAGAACTATCAGTAGATCAAGTGTCAAAATTTGTTTTAGAGTTTGTTGTTTATAATTCAGAATATTTTTTCCTATAAAACCAGGAAACAAATCATGATCTAACTCATGAGTAGCCCTATATATACATTCCTGTCTTCATGAGATGACTGGATTAGCCAGATCCATAATTATCAAGCATGTCTGTTCCTTCTTGGAGAATTTGTTTTCATCTTTTCACAGTATTGAAATAAGTTCAGCTAAGCCCCAGGAACAACTCAGCAAATCTTGGAAACAGTCTTTAGTCAACTCCCCTTCCTTCAGTCCTCAGTAACCATTTCCAACATCAGCAGTCTTTTTAAGATCCTTGCCACTGTGCTTAGTAGCAAATGACTTGAGCCATCACTCTGTGATTAAATAAAAACCACCAATGTCTCAGCATGGTGCCAAAAGTGTATATATTGCTCTTCTTTTTTATTTATTTCTCTTCCCATACCTTCTATTCTTGATTTTCCCTCCCTGGCCCTCCCCTTATTTTCCTTTCCTTCCCTCATTATCTATTCACCCTTCCATCTTGAGCTCCTCCCCATCCATAGCTCCAACTACAAATATATCAGTACCTCCTAAAATCTGTATCGCCAGGTAATTTTTTTTTTTTTACCAAGCTCCAGGTTCCTCTTTACCACTACATAAAAGAAGTTTCACTTGCATATACCATAGAGACTTCAAACTCAACTTGTCTAAAATGTAATATGCCATCTGAGGCAGCATAATGGACCCTCAAAGATGTCCACATCCTAAACCCCAGAACCTGTGAATATGCTAGGCTACATGGTAAAGGGGAATTAAGGCTGCTAATCAACTGCACTTAAACTAGAGACACTAGACTGAATTATCCAGGTGGACCCAATGGAATCATAAGGTTGTTTTTTTTTTTCTAATTTCTATGCCCAAAGTGGGGTTTGAACTCAAAATCCTGAGATTGAGAGTCTTACACTCTAGCAACAGAGCCAGTCAACCACCTCCAAAAGGTAGTTGGAAAAGGGAGGCAGAAGAAGGGAGTTATAGGGAAATTTAACTAGGGAAGAATGATCAGAGACATGCAATGTTACTGGCTTTGAGGATGTCGGTAGGGGAGTCAGACCTAAACCGAAGAATGTGGGCAGCCTTTACAAAATGGAAAAGGCAAGGAAATGAATTATCTCTTAGAGCCTACAAAAAGAAATACAGTCCTGCTGACATCCTGATTTTAGCCAGTAAGTCCCATGTCAGATTTTTAACCAACACAGCTGTAAAACAATAAATTCATGTTGCTGTAAGCCATTAAGTCTATAGCAATACATCACAGTAGCAATAGAGAATTAATACATCATTTCTACCCTAAATCTCTGCCCTCAGGTTTTTTATTTGTTTCAGAGAGTAACACTTTGATTGGTCATATTAGTGTTTCCCCTCAGAAGATTTCAGAATGTCTATAAGTTCATAGAATGTCAAAATAAACTCTCTTTATATTGTTAAAATTTCAAGATAAAAATATGAAAATACAATTCTTAAACTTAAAAAGGAGGGCTACAGAAACTTGGTAATATTTCTTCAGAACATTCAAGGTCTAACACTTACACATATCTTCTCTAATAAAATTTTATGCAAGCCTATTTGTTTGCATACAGTAATGGGAATGGTAGCATTCTTTTGATTAGCTAATAGATTTGTAACACAAAGAGTATAAATATTGTTTTCCCTTGTGTTTTGAAATATGCTGGATGAAACTGACACCTTTAACAATATGTTGCCTGAACTGCTGCTTATCTAAAAATCTTTCATAACTGATTCCTTATCATTTTTCAGTGTACTCTTTAATTATCTTTCTGAGAAAATAGTTTAAGAGACATCTTTGTTTTGGTGGTTACAGTGTTGAGTGGCTACTCATTCTCTTCATCTCTACATTTGCATTTTTTTTTTACTTCTACCTGCTAGTATTTTTGAGGAAAACAAAGAAGTAGGATTGTGGTCAAATTGTAGACCAAGAAGACATGGAGAATTCTTTCTACAGACAGTTAGAAAACAAATAAAAGTAAATGTATATATGAGCTTGCAGAAAAGGAATAAATTTCAGGTGCAGAATGAAGCAGGAACTGAAAACTGGGGCAGTGGTTACATAAGCAGATGCTGCAATGCTTTGGGGAGTGTTTAATAGTATCCATAATCCTCTTTGTTTTAACTCTCAAGAAGCAATAGAAGATGAATTCTTCAGGCCCATGGGAGGTGGGATTGGAACTAAAATCCCTGCATAAAAAGCCAGGAAATTTCAAAGGACTACCCCTCAGTGAAACCACACTCCAGACAAGCAGGGGGCAGGCAAGGAAGCCATCCATTCTCTTTGGTGGAAAAGCACGTCCCTGAGAAATCAAACACCTGGTTCTATACCTTGCATAAGCCCAGGACTGAAACTGCACAACACTCATGGTCAAGGAACTCCCATGTCAAGAAATACACACTAAAACTGTCCCATGCAAGTGCTTCTCTATTTGTGGAGCACACAGAGCTAGTGTGGAGGGGCACTTCTTGAGCACATACTATATGTGATTGTCAAAAAACAAACAAGTCCACAATAAAAAATAACCAAACATAAGAAAGAACCTGCCACTAGTGAGTGCCAAAAGACACACAAAAAAGATATACCCTAAGGACTTGAGATGAAAAAACAGTCAGAAAAAGACTGTAAGACTATAAGATCAGTAAGTCTGAAATTATTAGAATCATATATTGTCAAAATACTAAGAAAATAATACCCTAATATAAAATTTGAGATTTTATAAAGCAATAAATAGAACTTATAGAAAGAAAAAAATGTATAAATCCTTGAGAACTAGTAAAACATGCACATTTAACACAGGCATTTATGTCTATTCCTTGAAACCCTACCAAAAGGAAATTGAAGAAATAAAAAAGGTTTAAACATGTAAGGACAAGACAATAGGAGAAAAGATAACAAGTGCCAACAAATTTTACAAGCTGGAACTCGGATCTACAAATAGCAACTGGGTTGGTTATTGGGTTGGAGACAACATAAATCCAAATCTCTGGTGTTCGGTGGTAAGAGGGAGACTGGTGGAGAGGAAGAGAAGCTATAAAGAAGCAAGGTAATTCAAGCCACCTAGCCCCAGGAAGTCTTGGAATTGAGGGCACCAGGCATACTAAAAGGGCCTGAAGGAACAAGGACTGGTTGAAAGCCTTTAAAAGGTAGGATCCAATCCCCCAAATACTCTTCTAACACCCAACTAGCCAAACAACTACTTTTAACCCATCAGGCAGAAGATTTAAAATTAAACCAGAAAAGTTCTGGGCTGGGGGATACCATGCTTGCTGAGGGCACATCCTTAAAAAAGGAGAATTAAATGAAAGTTTACACACTGGGCACTGAGACATCCCTTCCCTCTATCAAACAAGTTTATGCACACACTAAAAGCAAAGAGAAAACCTTAAA